GCCGAATTTAGTTCAAACAACAAAACAAAGAGACCGCTCCCCAATAGAGGGCATAAAGGCATAAAAGGTATCAGATGAGAACACAGCGCAGAACCCCGCATACAGTAACCACGCGTACACAAGTGTCAAGCGGAACGCCGCCGTGATAGGCGCGAACCGAAAAGAGCGCGACGCGGCTGCCATTGACCGCACAGAAGACAATGCCAAGACAATGGGGTGAAAACCCGAGAAGGGCGGGAGTGAAAATGCCCTGGGGCTATGAGCGCCTCGGGGGCGGGAACGCCCGCCGGCGCTTTCGCTCTTTGTCTCGCCTTCACCTTTCCCGTGGCGCCGGTTCGGGAATCATTGTCGAATTCGTAGCCTGTCGCTCTCTCTCTCTCTCTCTCTCTCTCTCTCTCTTTCCCCTAGCTCTGGCTGATTATCAACCTCCCTCTGTCGCGACATACCTGCCCGGCCGCGGGCTGGTAAACACCCAATTTGGCAACGCAATGCTTCGGCGACTTGCACTTGTCGCAGACAAGGCCATAACAAGATGGAATACAAGCGTGACAGTTCGGCTAACACTAAGCTTAGCTTAAGCCTAAGCCTAAGTCTAAGTCTAAAAACTAAGCCTAGGCTAACAAGGAGACGTTTTTTAGTGTGAATGGAGTTTTAAGTTGAAACCAGGCCTATTCTGTGCAGAATTTTGCGCTGATTCCGATACTGTTTTCCAATTTTGCTAAATAGCTCGATTTAAAAAGTTACAGCTATTTTAAGATAATTTTTAGGCCCAGAGTAGCCATATGCTATGCTGTGCTACTTTTTTGCTATAATGTTCTAATTTATTTTAAGTAGCCTTTCTGATTTTTTTCTGATTCGAATGGTATGTTTGATTAGTGCGCTACTGCCGATCGTCGATGGCTTACAGGGGTGAGAAATAGGCTGTTTTTCACCATTTCCCATACAAAAATCGCAGTCCATATCGTCGATTTTTTCGATTTTCAACAATTTTTTGTTAAATAGCTCATTCGATAGAGAATATTGTTCTGAATACGGTGACGATATTTATTTTTGGAAAAACAGCCGGCAAAGCAACATAATGGTCCCTAAAGAGGGGAAAATTTCGGCTAAAATGATCTTAAAATTGCTGTAACTTTTGAAATCGAGCTTTCCTAATCGACCGAGAAATGGAAAACATATTCGGGATCAGCGCAAAATTCTGCACAAAATAGGCCTGGTTTCCACACAGAACTCCATTCACGCCAAAAACGTCTCCTTGTAAGCTGGAGCTAAGCCTGAGCTAAGCCTTAGCTAGGACTAAGCTGAGCTTAAGCTTAAGTATACATGTAAACATAAGCACAAGCCTAGCCTAACTCAAGTCCGCTACCCAAAATTCCCAAAAACAACTTGATGGCGGCGTGGCGGTGAGGTCGATTTTTATACTATTTTCTAGGTCTCGAAGAGTGCGTTAAGGTAGGACTTCAAAAAGTGTTTACGAGAATGAAACTTGTACAACTTCAGACTCTTTTGAGCTGTGGTTTTTAGCGATTCTTTCCATTTCGTTACCTAATGAAAAGGTTGATTGTTGCGTATCTCGTCTCCTTAAAATTTCAGCGCTTCTATTTTCTGCTTCACACCAAAACATCAAAACATGCCCCCAAAAATCAGGGCTCGACAACAACATTCAAAAACCGGGTTTGCACGACACCCCAGACGAGGTCACCACCCCATCATCAAATCGATCAAATTACCGAAGGCAGATTGTGTGAATTGTTGGCAACGCCTCCTCGAGACTGGGTGGGTGCAAGGTTGTCCGCAAGGCTTCTGCCTCTTCTGCCTCTGCCCTTCAGTCATACATTCCCCACCCCCTGGTATGCCCTCGGGCAGTCAACAAACCGCCATCCGTTTGACAGTCGAGAGCCCCGCCCTAGACACCGTCTGCCACCCAGCTTCCCACAGACTCATAAATCCCACGGTCCGCTACAGGGGATCTGGCATATCCCACGCTCGGGGTATGGCAAGAATGCCTTTAGCTAGGGCATGCTAGCAGAGAGCATTGAGGAATGGAGGTCAGAGGACTAGCAGAGATCATTGAGGGGACCAAGGCGAGCTGGCAGAGATCATTGAGGAAACGAAGGCAGTTAGGCAGAGATTCTTTGCGGAAAGGCAGGCTATTAGAGGCACTTTGAGGAAGGGAGGCAGGCTAGCAGAGATCATTGAGGAAGCGAGGGCAGAGATAAATACCGAAGAAGAATTTCGAAATCCGCGGTGACAAAATTTCCAAAACTAGATGATGACGTACGAAAATTACGTCAAAAATTCCGGATTAAAGACGTGAAAATTTATGGAAAATGAACTGATATATGACACACACTAGGTCCAGTGATGAAAAACCGTCCATTTCGCCGAACAATTCCGTTTCTTGCCTATCTACAGATACAGTAATCGGCAAAAAACGCGACCTGGCATTTGAATCCCGAGGACAAAGCCCTCGACTATCATATCCCATGATTCACCCGGCACCGGTTTGGCCCCCGTCATTTGACCTCAATTCCGCGGGGCTACGGTAGCCTTCCGGTTTTCACGAATTCCCGGGGGCTGAAGATGAAATCAACAAGCAACACGCCAGGCCACGCACTCGAGACAAGCGTCAGAATTGGTGCCAAAGTTCCGCGTCTTTGCCATGGACGCCACCCTACGCCTCGTTGACCACGATGACGACGTCACCACCCAATGATGGGGCCAACGGCAAACAGGGCACAGAACAAGAGACTAAACAAAAAATGGGTGGGAGAGAGAGCGAGAGAGAGAACGAGAGAGAGACAACGACAGCACGACAAGAAGAATTGCCATTTTCTATGCGTGGGCCCGACACCCACTCCTTTTCTAGCGTTTTCCCCCACATCGTTTCTCGAAAAGGCAAATATTTAGGAAATTTTAGGAGCAAAAAGACACGACGGTGGTCAGAACACATACTGGGTGAGCAGCTAGTGGCCAAAAAGCAAAATGAGGCTTGGATCAGGCTTAGGCTTAGCTTAGGCTTAGCTTGGGCTTGGCTTAGGCTTCGGCTTAAGTTTAGGCATCAGCATAGGCTTCGGCTTAGGGCTTGGCTTTGATTTAGGCTTGGGCTTAGGCGTGAGCGTAGGCGCTTAGAATTAGGCTTAGGCTAGGCTAAGCTTCTTGGCTTAGGCTTAAGCTTAGACTTAGCCTGAGCTTGGCTTAGGAATAGGCCGAGGCATAGACTTAGGCTTAGGGCTTAGACTTAAACGTAGGCTTAGACCTAGGCTTTTGTGTAGGCTTGGCTTAAGAATAGTAAGAGGTTTAGGCTTAGGCTTGGGCTTAGCAAAGGCATAGGCTTAGCCATAGCTTGGGCTTCTCGTACGCTTGGGCGTGAATGCTCAAGCGTAGGCTTAACGTTAGGGATATCAGCACAAACGGCTGATCAAAACAAATCTACAGTATCCTCAATTGTCTAAAAAATTCGTCTTTCAATTGCATTTTTTTCAGTTTCTGCCATAAAATAAACGCATGATTAGGAAAAACAAGAACCCGGAATTCTATCCTAAAAATTCCAAACAATAAGCATGCCATTGGCTGTGGGAGCCGTGTGCAGATTGGTGTGTCCGCGGCACACCTGTGGACAGTCTAGGTGAAGACCGGCTGGACGGTCTCTCTCTCTTAATGGACAAACAGTCACCATCCCATCCACTGGGTCCGGATAGGGGAACCGGACCGACAGAGAACTGGGCCCTTGGCAGGCATCGATGTCTCGCATGTGTCTGTCTCTCTCTCTGGCTGGCCAGTGCCAATTGGCAGACGGTGCGTTCTAGACGTTTTAAAGGGACTGGGAAGAGGTTTTTGTGGAAAAGCAAAGAATTTTTGAGTCAGCCAGGCTAGCAGAGATTCTTTGAGGAAGGGCAGGCTAGCAGAGATTCTTTGAGGAAGGGCAGGCTAGCAGAGATTCTTTGAGGAAGGGTAGGCTAGCAGAGATTCTTTGAGGAAGGGCAGGCTAGCAGAGATTCTTTGAGGAAGGGCAGGCTAGCAGAGATTCTTTGAGGAAGGGTAGGCTAGCAGAGATTCTTTGAGGAAGGGCAGGCTAGCAGAGATTCGTTGAGGAAGGGCAGGCTAACAGAGATTCTTTCGGAGCGTATTCTTGTTTCTTGTGCATTTTTATTATACCAAAACACGATCGCAAATCTTTATTCTTCGCATACCTCGACAAGAGACACCAATAAAACAAAAAAGCCTTCCAAGCAATCCCCCAACTGCTTAGAAGCCTTAAAAATACGTAAAAATCGGTAAAAATCGGCCAAATCCAGGTCGACATGGTCCCCCAACCAAATTGTCAAACCCAGAAAATTTCCCAAAAAAGGAAAAAATCTACTAGGAGAAGCGAAGAATGATTAGATACAGACAGCAGATTCGCGGGGCTACAAACTACAGGAGCGGGAAATTTTTTAAAGGAGCTAGGCGGGGCAAATCGGAGCCCTCAATTCATTCGGAGGCAACGGTTATGAGCACCAGGCGAAAGTGTTGCAAAAAGTTTTCAATTTTTTTTTGGGAAACTGAGAATGCCGAAATTCGATTTGTCGAAAAATCATTTTGTCGGCATTTCATGTTATCGAGATTCATTTTGATTGGAATTTTCGGCATTTCGTTCTGTCGGCATTTCATTTTGTCGAAATTTCACTGCCCAAAAATATGGTAAAAATTAGAAATCCTGATTTTCGACAAGTTGAAATTTTGATAAAAGAATATCGACAAAATAAAATTTCGATAAAATTGAATTTCGAAAAAATAAAATGCCGACAAAGTGATTTTCGACAAATCGGATTTCAACATTCCAATTTTCGAAATTCTGATAACAAATAGTTGCACATAATAGTTTCATATTTCCAAATTTTATGGTATAAACCTGGCTTTAAATGTAGCGTATCTTATAGAACAGTAGAGTTGAGCGAGTGACCGGTATTTGAGTAAGGGAACAGCGCAGAAGAGAGAAAAATGCGGAAAATTATTCATTCTTCAGTGGATTCGGCAGGAGCATCTTCGACTGGCTCGTCCTCCTCAAGAAGTGCGGCCCTCCGCCGTGCCCGCGACGTCGACCGATCGCGGATGAATTTGGGCAATGACTGCGTCGAGTCGGGGTCTTCTTCTAAAAGGAACTGTTTTCGGAGCATGAATTTTTTTGGGGACTTTAAAAAGCATGCGATTAGCGCGTATCTTCAATCATATTCGTGTGTTTGCCTGTCTCTTGATAAAAGGAACGTGAGAGAAAGAGAGAGCGAGAGTGAGAGAGAGTGAGAGAGAAATAAAAAGCTCGAGAGCGCGAGAGAGCGAAGACGAGAGTGACAGAGATAGTGACAAAGATAGTGAGAGAGAGCGCGAGAAAGATAGAGAGAGAGAGAGAGAAAGAGAGAGCTATGAGATACTCACATTTAAAAAAGGTATTTGCAGCGTGAACAACTCATTAGTAAACTGTGGACCTAGGAAACCCCGTACTAATAGAAATTATTCGTAATTATTTAATTTGAGTTGAGCTTATCGCAGTTAGGTGAGGAAACCACAAAGCGGCCAGCATTGTAAAATTTCACTCCCCAGGTACGTCTCTCTCACTCTCTCGCTCTCGCTCTCTCTCACTCACTCTCTCTCTCTCTCTCTCTCTCTCTCTCTCTCTCTCTCTCTCTCTCTCTCTGCTAACGCTTCCCAGCTTCCGATAAGCGCTAGGTCTACCAAAGACAAAAATTTAACGACATAGAATCAACCTTACTCTAAACCCCGATAAAGGTCTTTGCTAGCGTGCCCTCGGAGACCCCCTGATTTTGTCATACATACTTCTAGGGATTCCCCAAATACTCGTGAATGTTATAGCATTGGCAGATGAGCTCTTAGATCCATGGAATGCATCCAAGAGATCGCTTCCTCAAGCTTTTTTTTGACAATTTTAAAGGGGATGGCTAGCAGTTTTATTGTTAATAGATTCCCACAAAATTTGACGAGTCCGCGACACGCAACGCGCAATGGCCTTGTCATTGCGTAATGTATTGCACCCTTACAGAAGCCAAGCTGCGTCTGCGTGGCGTGTCGCGGTCGTGGCGGTCGGCCATATCAATACTTCGAGAAAAGCATGAGGCAAGTGATATCATTATTACGGACTACCAAATTCAAAAACCTAAGCTATGCAGTTCTACTTATATGGTTTATAGCAAATGTTCGATAAGTGATTATAATAATTTAAAAGGAGTTACCAAACAGTTTTCCAGCGCTTTTAAGGATAGAGCTTGATCTATAGGTATCTATTAATCTGAGGATGATACCACGGGTTAGTATGTTTCCATAACACGATGAAATGTGAATAGGATTGTAGGGTATGTGGTAAGGTATGTGCTGAAAAGTAGTATGTGACTCTGTGGGTGTGTATTAGCAAATATCCGCTTTATCGAATGGAAAATGGTTGGGGGAGACAGTGGGGAGCAGGGCAAAAGAAGTAGAAATGGGGCCACACATCTCTCAGAAAGCTTAAATTATCACACACGCATCTTTAGAATCAAGGTAATGGCTAGTAGGGGGTGTATAAAACTCTAAAAATACTTTAAGAAAATTTTGTTTTTCCTGCGTGTCGACTGGCAGTGTCGTTGGGGGGTGGGTGCGTAGTGTAAAATGGAATGGGCACTCGGTGGGGGTACACAAATTGTATAGGTTAGGCTTAGGCTTCCTCCTAGACTGGGAATCAAACACCAATACCAAAGTAAAACACCGGAGTGGCGCGTAGAAAACGGTTATTTTTGCTAAAACATGACCTAGACACCGTAACCAATTCGAAAAACCTGGGTCACCTTTTAGCAAAAATCCAAAAATTCTGGGGAGTCTAGCGGAAATTAGGGGTCTCTTCTGCCGGGATATGTAAATATTGATTTTGGCAGTGTTAATTGAGCTTTTAGAGTATTGTCGATTGTTCAGCATCGTCGTCTCGTCGTTCGATGTGTTTTGTACAAAAAGAGAGAAAATCTGCTTAGATAAAGTTTTGGGCTTGAGGTGGAATTCTCAAAAATTTGGATCTTCCGCTTCCGGAAGTGAGGGCGACATCCCCCAACGTCATCCCTCGGAAAACGGGTTCAACAAGTTCAAGCAGTTCAGACGGCTCTCTCCCCCAAGGTGTTATACAGAGAGCCGAAAAACTCCTTCAAAACGGTTCAGATATCTTCCTCTTCAAGGCAAAACTGTAGCTACCAGATGTGAAAGAGAAATGGATAATGACGTATCTCCAACAAGTTCAAGCAGTTCAGATGGCTCTCTCCCCCAAGGTGTTATAAAGAGAGCCTCCAAACTTCTTGAACTTTTGTTGTAGATGATCATAGCAATGTCGAAACGTCATCGCCAGATTTACAAGAAAATAGTGAATTCAGGGCGTAAATGTTCAGCTTCTATCTCTTCAATAGAAGTCCATAGTAGTGTGGTGTACTGTGAGGTGTAGTACTGTTCAAATTAAAGCATGCGCCGGGCGTATAGACAGTCGAGGAGCAGCCGATCCGAGTGGATCGAGCTGATCGGGCCGCTGGGCGGGGCCCCACCTTCTACGGTCACATTTCCCGATGACGTGCTCTGGCCGGCCTCGTTGGATGCGACGCAGCTGTACACGCCGGAGTCGCGCCCCATTGGTTCCGCTGAACGGGGATTGTATGTGGTTTTTAGGCTCGGAGTTACCAATGGTCAACGTGTGCGTGCAAGGCTCCTCGAAGCCGAGCTTGACCCGTGATGACCCGACGACTGGCTTCCATTCCTAGGAAAGAGTATTGAAGAGTGAGAGAGAAAAAGAGAGAGAGAGGGAGAGAGAGAGGGAGAGGAAGAGAGAGAGAAAAAGAGAGAGAGAGAGCGCGAGAGAAAGAGAGTGAGAGAGAGAGATTGAGAGAGAGAGACGTTACCTTCATCCACTTGACCGTCGGTGCCGGGTTGCCTTCAACGCGCACCTCGAGTTTTAGTGGTTGTCCCGCGCCGAACGTTCGGTTCGACATGGGTTGTACGAATTCGGGGCGTGCTAAAAAAGTTGGCTTAGGCTTGGCCTGACTTGGACTTAGGCTGAGGCTTAGGCTTAGGCGTAGGCTTAGGCTTCACCTTAGGACTAAGCTTACACTTAAAGAGATAGGGGCGGCATAAGTCAATCGATTACGCGCGGGAAAGAAAATGTCTCTGCGCCTCTCCCCTGGGCGCCCTCTCTCGCCGCCGGTCGAGCTGGGACCTGTTGAACCCCCCCTCCCCAAGGGGGGTTCAACAGATGCCGTCCTCATCTCTTTAAGCTTCAGCATGGGTTTAGGTTTAGGCTTAGGCTTGGCTTAGAATTAAGCTTAGGCTTAGGCTTAAGGCCTAGCTTGGTCGGCTTAAACTCGACCATATCTACATTTCCACCTCCACAACTTACTCGCCAAGTCGACAAAGATGTTCTGCTGGGCGTCACCGTACTGGTTGGTGGCCAAGCACTGGTATTGGCCGACGTTGGACTGAATTTTGGTTCATTAGATGAAGTTCAAAAAAGCTCAAGATACCTTGTTGAATCCAGAAATCGTTAGGATCGTTTCGGAACCTCCATAGGTATGAATTTTGCATCGACACAACGGGTCCGTCACGTCAATGTCCACTCCGCGGAATTTCCAGACGATTTGTGGATCGGGGTATCCCTGAAAGTTAGGCTTAGGCTTAGGATTAGGCTTTGGCTCAGGCTCAGGCTTACTTAGGCTTAGGCTTGAGCTTAGATTAGGTTTAGGCTTGCTAGGCTTAGGATTAGGCTTAGGATTAGGTTACGCTCAAGCTTGCTGAAGCTTAGGTTAGGCTTAGGCTGCTTAGGCTGCTTAGGCTGCTTAGGCTGCTTAGGCTGCTTAGGCTGAGACTTAGGCTAGTGAGAGTGAGAGTGAGACCCACCTGAACATTCAGCACAATGCTAATGCTGTCCGCCTCGGCGCAGTACCGCTTCTCCTCGATGCCAGGGGCGAACCAAGGGGCGCAGGCTGCAATTGTGCACTGTTAGCGCTTGTTCACTCTCAACCCACCATACTGTTCGGCATAAGCCTTGTCCAACGCCTGCTCGGCGTACGGGTCCAGCAAGGGGATGATCTTCTTGTTCTTGTCCAACACTGGCTGGGGCGGGGCCATCAATCTAGAAAATTCAAGTGGCTTAGTGGCCCGCCG